GTTTGATTAGCCAGGTGCTAGCGAACAATTCTTCGGAAGAAGTTATTCGACAGAAATTCTGATTGGGCTAAATGTGTTTCGTAGTATCGCATAGGTTTTCTTTGAGAAATCGTTTTGGGTAGTCTTTTTTAACATCATGATACCCTAAACTGCTAGGGCTTTTTTACACCCATTTCAAACTTCAAAACTATCTACAATTCTCTAAAAGCCAAGTTTTCCTAAAATTCGAGAGTGATTATCTGCCCCTTCTCAGCTGTTTCCAGGTTAAATGTGTTTCTTTACATTCGTCAGTGAAAATCAAAGTCTCTGAGGGAAAAACTGTACGGAGTAAGAGTGTTTACCTTTTCTCTCCCAAGATCTCATTAGCAATTCTCCGTACTGTCTGCCATACAATTCTTATGATGTTAGTTTGGAGAATTTGGTATTGGATCAACTGATAATCCCCTGATTCATATTTTTTCATTATTCCCCTCACTTGTCAGCTTGACATTGTATCGATATTGTAAGGAGAAATTCTGTCTTGGTCACTCATGGGAATTAAAGAGTAAATGCCTTCCTGTGAAACACATCATGTATGCATGGAAATCAATTGGGGTAATGAGAAACAGGAGACTTGCTTGTAACCAGCTCTTGGCAAAATTACTACCTTTTTTGAGAAAACAAAAGAAATTTAAGTCAAACGGTAGGGCTCTGTGTAGAATGGCTGCATTCCAATGATTCAATGTCAGCGGTGGCCTCTTTTGCACATGAGCAGAATGCCATTTGAAATAAACGTGCATGAAGTAGAGGTTCGAGCGTTTGAGATTTCTACCAGCAGGCAAGAGAACCATGATAAAGAGACACATAAAGCATGCGTAGTGTCGTTTAAATTGACGAGTAGGCATTAAACGATCAAAATACATAGGCATATGAGTAAAAAAGCCGATATCAGGGATAATCAAAACCGTTACAATTTACTTAAATGTGATTGGTGCTTTATCTTTCACTAATTGTTCTGTAGAGTTGTAACCGAACAGTGTAATCGGACAGTTGGCTGTGATTGGACACCTGTAATCGGACAGATAAAGCAGCCAATCACACCATATCCATTCAGTTGAATCCACCAATCACAGAATTGATTACATTAAACATAGCAACAACTATGTACCCAACAAAACTGGGGAATTTCCAAAGTAGAGGATTTTTTCAGTTTAGACAATATCTCTATTTCTTCAAATAAATGTATTTGTTTTTCTCGGAAATAGTAATTGTTATGATTAGTTAACAATTATTCGCCGAAGGCGAGGTGAATATTTAGCAAATAAACCCTTTCGGGCGGCTGGTAGGTCGGCTGATAATGTCCGCGGCTGAGAGATTGTCCGAAAAATGAATATTTGGCCGAGAAGCGAAGCTTCGAGGGCAAATATGAAATTTTGACGCAAAGTAACCAATAATATCGCGTCAAAATTAATGGGTGGGTTATAACGTCGAATAATCCCCGAGACGAAGTCGAGGGGATTATTCGACAATGTTCACCGAACCTGAGGCGAATAATTGTTTTAGTATAATTTCAGAGCTGAACAACAGGGAAATTTCTAACATTTTAGTAACATTTATTAACATTTCATTTTCAAATTTTATATAAACCGCGTCGAGCGGTTTGTATAGCGTCATATAGGGAATCGCTCGACCAATCAGATTGCTGGAAACTCTTTGCTCAGCTCTGAAATTGTACTAATTGGTAATATGATTAGGTGTGATAAACAAATCGGACTCCCTCTTCGCGGACGTCCAGTTTTGTAATCACTTGTATGATTACAAACCGAATTGGGCTCCTCCCAGTCCTATCCAACATTATATTAATTAAGGAAAAACTAACTTAAAATATCGAGGGGACGTTAGCACCGAGATTAGATCGGGTGAAACAAATTTAACGAAGATCTTACAACTTCTTCCAAACACGCTGCGACCAAAATGGTTGATGTTTTCAGATACTGATTAAAACTGAAACAAATTAGAAGCCCTCATGATTCTGCTGACAGACCACGATAATTGATCCACAAGAAAATGTCGTACGTATGATGCACGATCTTCAGAGTAGAGAGCGCTATTTATGCAATAGCGAAAATCAGGCCTGTACGGGATTCGAACCACTGACCTCTGCGATACTAGTGCAGCGCTCTACCAATTGAGCTAACAAGCCAACTGGGAGGTGGCCATTAAGTTGATTCGTAATAAACCCGTGATGATAAATCAGATACAATGAATATATTGTTTGAGCGTTCATTTGAATATTCGTCTCCCAAGGTGAAAAGAAGCCAGTTTTTAGCAGTGTTTTCGAGGCATATTTTTTAATTTAATTGCTGCTCTTACCACTAGTTTCATGTTAGTGTTCCTGCAGCAATTCCGAAACTCGTGAATTATTTTCTTGTGAACTGTGATCAATAATATCCAACGCTTTTTAGGGTAAATACTTTTTTGAAAGCTGTTTGTGGTCACACTTATCAATTATTTAAATCATACTTCAAAAAAACAGTTCTCTGATCTGTATACTTATATACCCCAAGAACGTGCAGTTCACAAACAGATTGAATGTTTTCCTGTTTTAATCGGCTGACGAAAAAAATGTCAGTACTTACTATGAATTGAAAAATGTTGCATGCTAGGTTCATTAATATTTGTTGTTGGTGCAAAATTATTGATGATGATATATTTGCGAAATTTATGTTAATACTTATGAGCCTATAGAAAATGCGCATTGATTTAGACTAAACATCAGTTTTCGTTGAAGTTAAATTGTTCGAAGCTGTTAAGCAACTTTGAGCCTTATCGAGTTTAGAAAATCAGATGATTTGAAAATAATTGTTGCTAGTCTTTTGGTATTAGACGTTTTCGAATTTTCAGGCACCATTTCTTAAACGAATAAAAGTGTATGTCTGCAAGTGCCCTAAAAGCTGTTTAAAACAGCTAAAAGTTGATTGGTTAACTTGAAGTTACATTTGCCTTCTTCTAGTTTTACGCAGGTAAAAAAAAATAACTTGGAGAATCGATGTGTTAATAACATTGATTCAACGCACTTGAAGAGGGTAAAGAGACACTAATATTGTCTGTGTAACCTTTCGTTGACCTCTGGTTTAGAATTTTTTCTCGTTGAAACATAAGGCGCTAAGCAGCTGTGTTTTTTTAATTCAAGGTGAAAGTTGTATTTTTTGCGAACAATGCACCACCGATTCTTTCTGACATATTCTGCGCAGGATTAATTACGTTTACAGGCGGCTAAACTTTAAACAATATGCGTATCCTCTATTGTGTGTTCGAGGAGTTATTACCCAAAAAGTCAACCCGAAAAATGTTTAATTATTTCCACCCAATCAAAGTCCTGCCAAGGATGATGGTTTGAAAAAAAATTGAAGGGGCAAGAAGATCCATGATCGTGCGTCATTTCACAGGGATAATTTGAATATCAAAGATGACCGGACCAGCTTTTGGTCTCGAACAGTGAACGCAGCCTGCATGCAGTTTCAAAAGATCACCCATAAAAAACAGGTAACTGTTTGGTCGAAGTAAAAAAGCTGGTAAATGTTAAATAAGTAAATGAAAAATTACTTATTGGCATGGACTATTGCTCTTAGCTGTAGAAACTTCATATCAAGAAATCATTTTTCAGCGAATATGCTAAAGTAGTGCTACAATTATTTCGATTCTTCGTAAGTCAGCAGAGATAAACATTTTCTTTCCGCTAACTTTTCACAGTCGTTTATTTTTTTTCAATTTATTTCTTTTCTACAGTGAAAACCCCCATTTGAAGCATTAGGCTAAAATTAAAACATTATATTCGGCGTAGCTCTGCAATTATGCGTCAGGTTTCTTTGAAAATGGTTGCTGATTATATCATAGTTATCTAGAACAATGTTTCACTATAGGATCATAATTGCGCGCGCGGGAAATTACTGATTCGGAATTATTCGGCATCTTAAAAATCAGAAATGCTGACAGAATGTAAAAGGGGCAGATCGGCTTCTTGTGTCTTCAAACGCAATAAAGCATAAACGCGAAGCATATAATTAAAAGTTTTGCTTCGTAAACATGATAAGTACGCCCTCAGCACTATCCTTTGTTTGGCTGATTTTTTATGTTGACATTTCCGCATTTCGATCAGAGTTTGATCGATTTCTGTGGTACTCAGTTGCGTGTTTTTTAAACACGCAAATAAGTATGGTCACCAGAAAGGCTATCACCCAAACGTTTCAACGAAAGCGGTAATATCAGTTGAGAAATTGTAATCAAACATATGCCTCTCAACGTCATACATATATTGTATCTGAGCAAAAAGTGACAACGGCTGGTTGAAGGTTTTTGCGACAATCTGAGCCTTAGTGAAGTCAGAAGCAGTAGAGGATAAACAAAGTGACAGAAATGATAAAACAATCATAAAGAATTAATAGCAGACATCAAAATTTGGCTCTTCAGCGCCTAAAATGTCTTGCACTTACAACAAACTGATTTAAATTTGATCGAAAGAGGTCTATAACAGAAAATTAATTCCTCTGAGAAGTCGTGGTTTTGGTGTCCTGTACAATTTTATAATTCACTTCTGTGCGTCTGTTATAAAATCACCCTTAAGTCAAATCTTTTAAAGTAAGAAGTTTGTCCTCTCATTGTATCAAGGTTTACGTGTCATCCAAGTTATGCCCGTTGCTTTTTCTGTGCTGATATGAGTATCAAATACAGACGAACACTAGAAGTGTGATTATACGATTTTTCCTGCTAAGCTCTTTAGAGAAAATACGACTTCGCTCTCTCTAACAAAATCGATGATGTATGCTGTATTTCGTAAACTTGGAAACAATGCTGATCAAAAAAGGTAATCAGAAGAGAGGGAAATATGACAAGAAGCCTATGAACACTCTAAGTAAACAACCAAACATTCTCGGTGGCGGAAAAACGCGCATTTGAAGTGATTTGTGGTTTCAGTTTCATTTGCCGCTGACTGACGGAAAGACTTAATGTATATTCCACAGAAAGATGAGTAGTTTTGCAACCCAAAAGACAGAAGGTACCGCAGAAGTATTTTCAATGAGACTACGCGGTGATGACGCTCTGATTACAACAAAAGACGAAATAAGACGCAAGGAATCCAACAGTCCAACCCATTCAAACAACATCCGCGAAGTATCCTGGGCAAAGAGGAGCCCGCACAATTCAAGCATTCTTAGCAATGGACTAGCTGACGAAATTGTCTGTCAAACTTGTTCGGTCTCAACACTTAACGCGCCTATGTTAAATCATAGTGGTAGAATGAGTCTGCCAATGAATGGAAAATACGCTGGTAATCATTATCACTGGAAGTGTAATGGAATACCGGTCAAAGCCACGAGTCCGCAACGCTTTCCGCACAAGGCAAAAGGAACGTCGTCGCAGCTAAGCAAACAACACAACTCTCACTCAGGAAATATAACCTGTTGTGGATCAACCCGTAGCAGAACCTCTCAGGAAAAAGGCCCTAATAAACCTTGGAAAAACAAAGGGGACTACTTTGTAGCGATGCTAACATATCTTCTGGGAGTAGGAAATGTTATCAGATTTCCTCAGCTGTGCTTCAAACATGGAGGAGGTGGGGATGTTGTAATTTTTTTTTTCATTCAGTAAATTCACTGCAGCCTATTAGATTAAAATCGATTCAGATTATTCTCTTGTGAACACGGAAAGACCCTTACCGCAAAGTAGAGGGTGATGATATCTCAAAACCAACATGAAATTTATAGTTTTGGACCTTGGATCTGAAAGGTGGGGATTCAGTGTAATTTTATGATCCGTATGATAAAACAGAGCCCATCTACCGTATTATCCTTCAGTTGTTGGTGGCAATAACTATATATTCCTGTCCTCCAAGCAATGCCACAATAAAATTCAAGCCCTTTCAGGTTATCATGGGAGACGAGGCCACCAAATAGTTATGAATAAAGGCTGATAGTTTCTAAAGAAACTGTTTGGGGCTGCGTCGGTGGGGGTAACGAAATAATTTGGATATATCAACAAAGTTGAAATGGTAAATTGGCCACCATAACGATTACAAAAGCTGACGTTTCGAGCGTTAGCCCTTCGTCGGAGCGAAAAAAGTTAGTGGCGCTGGATTCTAAATCGAGAGGTCTGGGTTCGAGTTCTGATCGGCTCGATGTCTTTTTCTCACTTCACCTGACTAGGAGTGAAAAGGGAACTGTCAGGGACAGCCTATAAAATTCTTGCGTCTTGACTTTTGACCCTTGTCCTATCCAGAGAGAATAACAATACTCCTTGTCCCTTCTTGCAACGAAATTTAAAGTTGGCTGCACCGGGTAATTGAATTTATTGCGATTATTTCATAAAATTATTGTTGCTGTTGTTCTTATTACCTATATCTCGCTAATCAACTGGAACATTTTGTTTTACTAAGAGGGATATAATTTGTGCACTTTTGTAGGAGCATTTTTCATCCCGTACTTCATCATGTTAATCTTAGAAGGAATTCCACTCATTTGCCTGGAGATGGCCGTTGGACAGAGACTGGGGCGGGACTCTGTCACGGAATCCTGGAAGGACCTCAATCCCAGTCTCAGAGGAATTGGTATGGCCGCGACCATCGAGAGCCTAGTGACGTGTTTTTATTACAATTACATCGTAGCCTGGTGCCTTTACTATTTTATTCATTCCATGAGAAGTTCACTATTATGGACTACCTGTCCAACATTCAATGACACTGTAAATGGAACTTTGGTCCCAGAGTGCTCACGAACTAATCCAGCCGAGTATTACTGGTATCGAGAAACGTTAGACGTTGCTGATGATATCAACAAAAGCACAGGTTAGAAATGACGTCATATTGATTGAGACGTTTGAAATGGTGATGCTACTGGGAGTATCTGAGGTGGATGTATCTGTTCACGATATATTTGAAAAGCCGTTGTATGTTCGGGTCTTATTTTAAAGACGTATCTAAGTTCATATACATGCATATTATTCTGGGGGGTGGTGAAAATAATTGCTATTGCAGGAATTTCTGATAAAAAAGAAATTTGAATATTGATTTTGAAACCAAGGAACAATGAAGGGGTAGAGAGAGAGGCCATGGATATAGGCCTTGGGTTATTTCAATTGCAGTTATTTATTGGTAAAGAGTTTTTCTTCTAAGGAAATCTGTTTTCCGCAACGTCCGTGTCAAAGCTAAAAAAGTTGCACTTGTATTATGCAACAGATGCGCCGAACATCTGATGGAATTGGGCTCGCTGTGAATTCAATAAATCAGTAGAGCTTGTTTCAATTGAGTGTCAAAAGTAATCCGACAATTTGTTGGTTTTCCTTTAATTCGCGCCATGATTGGTCCAAAAAACTCGCGCCGTCATTGGTCCAAAAAACTCGCGCCACTTTCTCAAGCAATCAGCAGATTCAAAACTTAAACCAATCGCGACTTAGTCACCCCCGTTTTCCCCGCTTTTGGCACTTTGCTTTTTTTAACTTTGAGTTTCTCACTGGTTGTTAAGGCTTTTTGCCTTTCCCCTGATTGGCCGCTGTGATTACTTTGGTATTGGTTTAACGACGCCCAATCGGAAGGGGCTTTAACAAGAAATCTAACGACTTCGTCTTAGTTCTTTCATCTTATTATCATGATATCAACAGGTATCAACATGTATCTGTTCTTGTTTGTCGTCATCTCCTGGACTGTGTCGTTCTTACTGACCATGCGTGGCTTGCGAGCAGCGTCAAAGGTTGGTGCGCCAGAAAAATTCAAATGACGTAGTTATGCTTTTGTAAGGTATGAAAGACGAAGTAGGTTGTGATGAACCTGTTTTATTCACCTTCTGTAAGTGGATTGGGTCGAGAGTGGTCCAGAAAAGGACTGTTGTCGACAACAGTGACTGACGTTGAGACAAACTGAGCACTGAATTTATTATCTGAGTCAAGTAATGAGTTGTTTGCCAACTATAAGTCGACCTGCTGAAGCTGATTGCTCATTCGGGGTTTTGCTGCTAGAGCAATTTTCAATTGAGTCATCCGGGATTTGTTTGGTTTTTAAATTCGCTCTGTGATTGGTCCAGAAAACTCGCCTCGTCCTCACCAATCAGATGCAAAACAAAAAGCAATCGCGACTGGGGCACACGTGTTTTCCCGTGCTTTTTGCTTATTTTCAGCTGGGGTTCTCATTGGCTAATGATAATGCATACCTTTACTCTGATTGGTCATTGTGATTACTTTGGTTTTTGTTTTTCCACATATAAGTAGCGTAAACCAAATTGGTTTTTTTCAAATTCATCCTTTTAATAATTCATCTATTTCATTTACTTTGTAGGTTTTGCTTGTGGCTCTCATTTTTATTGTTACCAGTCTCGTCACATTTTTCTTTGTTAGCGTACATCTTGACGGCTGGGCTCAAGGACTCGCGAGGCTTTTCATTCCGGAGGTAGGTAAAATCTTATTTTAGAATTTAATTTGCTTTGATTTGCTTAAAATTTTCTTGGCAAGACTCTTTTAGAAACTAATTTTAAGAGCATGAAGCCTCGATCTTCTTTGTGAAATATAATCTTTCTATCACAAAAAATGATGCAATAAAAAAAAATTAATGTTTAAGATCAAGTCAAACAGAGAAAAAAGCTAAGTTGCCTAAACGTAATGCACCCTCCCAAATGCAGCTAAGTTGATAAAATAATTGATAAATTAAATAATTTGATAAATTAAATGTTAAATAAGATAGTGTCATTAAATCAATTTAGTTAATAGTCAAAAAGGCATCCTTAAAAAAACAAACAAACATAGGTAAAACAAATTGAATCATAGTTGATGATTTCATAATTCGAATAAGCCTTTCTAAAATCGATTTTCTGTCAGGTTGGTTTGGTTGATTGCGAACTGTGAAACATCTTACTTTAAATCTTGACAACAGAGATTTTTCATCTTTTCAGTGGGAAAGACTCAAAGACCCAGTAGTGTGGATGGACGCCGCTGGGCAAATTTTCTTCTCTTTGGGGGTTGGACTCGGCAGCGTTACCCTGTTTTCCACAGGGAACCAACCAAAAAACAGCTTCACAATGGACGCTATTATGTGCGCGTTGGGAAACTGTGCAACCTCTTTATGGGCAAGCATCATCATGTTCTCATTCTTTGGCTTCAAAGCTCTCAAAAAATTTAACAAATGTGAAAAGAATAGACTCGACGAACTCCGTGAAAATGACTCCACAATCACGTGTAGCTACCAAGAAATATTTAATCAAGTGCGTATAAATAATTCTCCTTTTTTAGAGGAAAAGTAATCATTATAGTCCTCATTTAGCTACAGGTCATTTGCAGCCCTTTGGCCTCGGTTTGAAAGTGAGGCTCAGTGTTTTGTAACAGGACCCCACTGATTAGAGAAAAAAATGAGGAGATATGTTAAACAGAGGGACATTTAGTGAAAAAAAATGACTTAAACACCCGAGTTGGACTCTTTCTAAATCAACGTTGGACTCTATGATGCATTTTTAATAAATCATGTCTCGATCTTATTCCCGAACATTGTGGTATAAAATTTGCTTCCCAATAATAAACATTTACGCAATACTCGGGGGCTGTGTTGTTCGATAAAACTGTCTGCAAGATTTCACTTCGACGCTAGATAGGTCTGTTACTTGTATGCATCATAGATAACTTTTAAATGATCATTTCAGCTTCCTCCTGGAATGTCCCTCGGGTTTGCGGGATTAAGCGAGGTATTTACTCAGATGTCCCTTTCTCCAGTTTGGTCAACCCTCTTCTACTTCTTGTTGTTCTTGCTAAGCTCCTCCAGTATGGTGGGTATGATGGAGATCGTGATTACAACTTGCAAAGAGATCAAATTTTTCTCTCGAACGTGGAGAAATGAAGTGATTTGTGGTGAGTCTGCGCTGTGTCATTTTCCCCTTGATTTGAATTGTATTACCTACTAGATTTCGTGATATCTTATTATTACCTACCTAAAACGCTCCTTTTCGCGGGCCAAACGGCAAAGTGCGGGCTCTAAATGGCATTTACCGCCCTGATATATATTTTATCAAATGAACTTGTACAATTTGGCCTTGTGTGCTGATAATAATGGTAATCACATGACTTTTGACGGGCATATAGTTTATTTGTGTTCCTCGTAGCATCATTTGTACCCTCCCTCCGCTGGGGCGCAAATGATGCTACTCAGGCAACAAATGAACTATATGCCCTCCAAAAGTCATGTAATTGTCCTATTCTTCGGTAGAATTTGTCGAGAAGTTGAAGTGCCGGGTTAGTTATGTCGATTACAACTACAAAACGTTAGTTATCATGCTGCTAATCCATCGCACGTTTACCACCCTCCAGACATCTGGATAAGCTGAATCAGGAAAGGCTATCTGGCTCGTAAACTAAAATCAATTATTATCTTTCGTAGGAGTTTTATGTCTCGCGATGTGTATAAGTAACCTCTTATTCGTGCAATCAACTGGTTTTTACTTGCTGGAAGTTATCAGCAGCGCTAGTTCCATTCCTCTTCTCCTCATCGGTCTGGCGGAATGTATAGGTGTAGCTTTTGTCTATGGAATGGAAAGGTCAGTAACCTTAAACCAAGTTATAACCGGCTCTATTTAGATGAGTGTGCGACTAAGTGATCATGATGGTCAATAGGAGCACAGACTTGAATATGTCACAAGGAGTTTAGAAATCGCGAGTGAACGAGTTGCAATTGGTTTTTGTTTTTTACTTAGTTGAGAACTTGACAGGGCGGCTCGATCCTTTTAAACCAGTCAGAGGGCAAGGTTTAGTAACACGCAATAAAAAGAGACGACGACACTGAGCAATCTGATCTACGCCTGCGCGTTTCTCTCGAAGTAGACTGGGAACGAGTCATTTTGTTTAACCCCAACCAATCCCTGGAATAAGCAAAATCACAACTGACTGACGTTCTGACGAAGGGCTAACACTCGAAACCGTCGGCTTTGATACTCTTCACGGTGGCCAATTTACATTATCAACTCAGTTGTTAAAACCAAAATTACCTATACTCCCTCCCGACGCAACACCACAGTTTCTTTATAAACTCACCCCCGTTTATCAGTTTTCGTAACACTTGACCGAGAAATAAATCCGTTCTTGACTCTGATGCACCCAGGTTGTTGTCGGTCGGTCACCACCATCAACAACAATCCTTCCCAGGACTACTCTTATTCTAACGGTCAGACCACTCGACAATCTGTTGCTCCTGAACTCAAACCGCCTTTTATTTCAGAGGCTGGTTTCGTCCTAGAATGTCCGAGCTCTTAACTAGGTTTGACCTGTGAAATACCTCATTTTAACTTGCAGGTTTTCAAAAGATCTTAGTTCAAAAACTGGAAAACAAGTTAAGAGCCGATGGAAGCTCTGTTGGAAGTTTTTTTCTCCCCTGATAATTTTTAGCGTCATAGTTGGTGGACTTGTGCAAACGATAAGAAATGGAGAGTTCACATATACTGCGTGGGACCGAACTGAGGTACTTTCAGAAATGTTATATTTTACGCTGTTTTATTGCGGTGTGGCATAGGGAGTGATTCGCTGTCATGTAAAACTTCAAACTGCTCTTTTAGAACTCCGATTTTGAAGCGTAGGTTAACATGCATCCTATGAATTTCTCTTGTAGGCAAAAATCAAGGCCTTACCTTATCCTCCTTGGGCGTATGTAATCTATCTGTTTTTCGTCTTGATTCCATCGATATGCCTAATATATCCTCCAATAATGGACCGTTTGACACGTCGTAGACGAGGGCCTGACATAATGCAGTCTCTGGGTGACGACAGTTCGGTTGCAAGCACTGGCTGCGCCCCGCCCTGTTGTATCGGAAGATCAAGGTCGTACAATATCGATATTCCTCCCGTTAGTAATCTCTGTGTTAATGGACATGTGAACCGAACAGTTGACGAGAATGACTGATGGTGCGAAGATACTACGGTTGAATACCGCGGTTTATAGTTCGGCACATTTGGAATAAATAAAGAAGAAGAAACGGAGGAGTCCAAAGAGAGGTTGAATCTCATGCTTAGAGGAGAAGAGCGCGCGATACTCTGGTCTGCGATAAATGTAAATGGCGCAACTGCACTACTGATGCTCAGGCTCGACGAATCAGAACTTGGCGCGCATGCGAGTTTCGGTCTCTCAAGCTGACCAGATTCATGCTCTTGCGGAACCTGCTGAACCAGTAAAAAAACAGCTTTTCAAAACTAACGAAAATTTGTCTAAGAAATACTTCTTTTAAAGTAAAATGACTAGAAGCTAAGCTTTTGTGTATTTGTTACCTAGATGAGCCGGAAGCACTGTTTCTGAAGGGTGTGGCGGGGAGGGAATGGGTCAGCTTTTTTTCAATAGCCGGACCTTAATCAGTCAGGACGGCAACGCCAAGGAAAACGTCCAATTAAACAATGAATTTCTACTTTTAACTAGAATTTCGAAAATTACTGCATGTGTTTATCATCTCATACAGCGCCACAACTCAACCTCAACATAATGTATAAAAGTAGCGTTGAGTTGCAAGTGGAAAATTGAAATAATTTGCCATTGCGGTTTCGGTTCGCAGACAACGCAAATTTTGCTGATTTCACGTTATCGTTTTGCAAAGGACGGCTGAGAAATGTATTATAAGTTTTAAAATGCACGTGCTGAGCTATTGTTCTGCTAATTAGATATTTTGTTTCAGTTTCCACATTCTCGTTGCCGTCGCCGTCGTGGTTTTCTTAAACACGAAGGCGCGCTATAAAAGGAGCCTTAGGTCCCACTGGACTATTTGTCAATCAACCGTCGTGTGATGTAGAACTCTTAGAGTCAAGTCAGCTTGAGCTACAGCTACTCCAAAGCAGTGAACAGCGGGCGCATTCCTCAAAATTGTTTTATGTCTTCATCGATTAAAAAATGAATTTCCACTTTTAATCAAAATTTCGAAAATGGCTGCATGTGCCTACCATCTCATACAGTGCCCCAACTGTTCTAAGTTTTAAAATGCACGTGCTGAGCTATTGTTCTGCTAATTAGATCTTTTGTTTCAGTTTCCACGTTCTCGTTGCCATCGCCGTCGTGGTTTGCTTAAGGTCCCTAATATTTGCTTTAGACACCTTGAGGGGAGCCGTTTAGCACCGTGAGATGCTCTTGGGCTGGTGCGTAAAGCTGCAACTACCTTGCGAATAGACCCTTGCGCTTCGGCACGTGCTTTCCTTCGGCCGTGGGAAAGTGTGAGGACTCAAGCAACGCAAGCCATGTGGAGAGGGGTCTGGTAAAGCTTTAGCATTTAGTGCCAGCCTCCCTGCAAACCTCTCCACGACTCGTCTAAAATCTTCCCACGGGTGGAAAAAACGAGTCCTGCAGGCCTGCGAGCAGGGCTCGCAGGCTAAGCTGTAACTGACTATCGGCATAGAGAGCAGCACGGAAGTCCTGCAGGAGTCTTGCAGGGCCAGGGCCAAAGCCCATGATATACCTATGGGCTAGAAAGCGTTACATACCTTGTAATGTCTAGGTTGAATTTACTTAAATACATGTGCGACACAAACATCGCGTGTCTAATGGAGGTTTCCTCCGGCCTAATCAACAAAAAGTCAGAAGCTTGATTGCCTATCTAGATAATATAAAAATCCTTATTTGTAGCCTTTGCTTTTGAAGGGAAAGATAGTGATACCGAAAGAAGCGTTAAAATTCTAAAAAATCATAAGGGAAATACAAGAGGTCACATTCAGTGTGTGACGCTTTCAGAGGGGGACAGGGGGGGTTCTGAATACCACACCCGGCCACCGCAAACACTGAAATAGAAAAAACACCGCATCACTGTAAGAAATATTATCAACACACCGACACGGCGATAAAAAAAAGTCTTAGGATTTACCTTGGTCTGGTTTCACTCATCTTTACCACGCGTTGGTCTTTGGCCGGCCGATAGTGCGTGTGGTAGAGGTCCAGAGGTCAAGTAAAATATATATGAAATCATCTTACGTTTATCAAAGATTTAACTCGGATGTATCGCTTATTTTTTTCGACCACGAGTTATTGATATCTAGTTTTTGAAAGGGTTAAAAGAATAAACTGCAACACCGGAAATGGTTTATTTCCCCCAACCCAGTCGGTTTGAAATTACCGTACATCTTTCACTGTAAGGTTTGAGATCACCACAACACCGCAATGCGCGTTGTTCTTCACCGCAATACTGCATTAAAAAGGTGCCAATACCGCGACACTGCAAACCCTAATGTCCAATGTCTCCAACCTTTCAAGTACACTCGTCTGAGCCTAAGTATAGAAGTAGATTCTCTTTCTTTTCCCTTCTTTTTACTTTTGTGAAACGATGTGTCGGGTTTGTCGCAAGAAATATCGTAATCGTTATTTCTCCTATTTTTTTTTTTGCGATTTTTTAAAAACAATTTTAAAGAACCTTTTGTAGTCTTACGGAATAATTTACTATCCTGTGACGTTCTTTTGTTCCTAATTTTCCAGTGTTTCATGTTCCAATGTTCCTGATTTTGCACATGCCACACGGTCGCAACTTAGTGATACGTAACGTAGCTAAGAAACGTCACGCACTGAATGAAATCTCTCCGGTTTTCTAAGTTCACGAACGGCGATTACATTTACATGTTCGACAAGTTTTGCTCATAAGCAATCACAATTCCATGCATCGCAGCGTATTTGCATGAACGAGAGATCACGTTATCGGTCCTTGCAAAACTGAACTTTTTCACATAGTGTTGTCACCACATGATTCGATTGGCACGTGATCAGTTATTTTCCAACCATACAGTCGATAAGTAATTTCCCCATGCTGTCTAACACTGTTGTGACCGTGGTTATCGGTTAAGTACCTTCCCGAGATTTTCGAAGCCTCTTTTTAACATAGAACTCCTCCGAGCCGTCAGAAACTTGACTATTTTTTTCTTTTTACACCCAAAGTAGTTTATAGGCGAAAATCCTGAATAAAATTTGATTCAAATCGATATAAACTCGATTCAAATACGTTAATATTTTACGAAACAACCCCCATTCATTGCCCGAATAGCCAATCACCATCGAGCATTCCAAATATGGCGGGTGTTAGTATAAAACCTTACTTCAGCCCATTTCTCGTCCTCTTTTTTCTCCTTACAGTAGGAAAGTGAAGTAGGAACCTCTAGTGGTAGTTGCATTCTCAACCAATTCAAGGTCAATATGCAGAACGGTGGAAAGCTTCAGTACAAAGTTGGTAAGTTTGAAGGCAATCGAAACTTGCGGTCGTAATCAACACGTGTGATGATTTAGGCTTCTGAAGTGCAAACTTAAACTACCGAAGTGTCCATGCCAGTAGAGTTAAGATTTCGTAATTTTGTTAAACTAGTACATATGAGTAATTTCATTTATTTTGTAGTACCTCGGATGAATATCACCTTGATCGGTTTTTAAAATTTGGAATTGTTGCTTGAAAAGTTTAATGAGCAGTGTGCATTATTACTTTATACAGTGTGTACGTCAGTGCTACGTATTTCGCAACAAGATTCTGTTATGGAGGGTGAACACCATGCCCATATTTCCAAACGCTGCGAAGTAAAAACCCTCCGCGTTGAGGTCAGATCAATCCAATCGTAGATATTTCAAGGTTACAAAATTTTGCTAGAGGCGTTGCCAAATACATGTGGCAGTACTTTTGCTAGAATGGTGATGTCGATTGAAGTTTTTGCCAAGAGCTAAGTTCATTTCTCTTCAAACACGTGTCTGTTGTTTTTTATCTCAGAAAACCGTGTGATTATACTCTTTTGCACAACGATATTCGACTAGTTTGGCTGTCTCCTTGGGAAGTAATGAGATTAAGAAGGCATTTGTTTGTCTAAAGTAAACGTCACGGTAGTCATGTGGTTACCACTGATTACAAACCTCTCGTTTGCGTGGTCTTTCGTCTCGGAGAAATGAAGTATTTACCTGAAGACAAGGTGCACTGAACTGTGTTTGATCACTAAGGCTCTCTGCTAGATCCAATCATTGTAATGCGGATGGAATATTCTCAGCCTTGATTGTCAAGTGTCAGACATGGGATAATGGATGCATAGATAACAAAAATAACAGACAAAATCATAACGAGACGGGAAGGTTTAAGATGATACTGATAATGGTAACGCACTCAAACCTCCGACAATCAGCCATCAACGGAGCAGTCAACCTTAATTATGTAGTCCCCACTCACATTCCCAAAATTTGCTTCGAATATTTTGTAAATCAGACCTCTGCCGACCCTGAGAATTAGTTCAGTCATTGGCTTGATCTCTCCGAGGATAGTCTGGCACTCTGCAACAATGAGCTAACCAAGCAGGGTTGAATATTACCTGTTTGCTTGATAATGTGTGGAAATATAGGGAGAAGTTATATGTTAATCCGTAGTTAGCTATGGTTAATCACTTGTGTGTGGGAGTGAAAGGGTTAGAAGGAGGTTTGACTTGGAAGAAGTGACAAAAATCATCATAGTTTGATTATCATCTCAGTACAATTTGATAGAAGAAAGCAAGTATTATTACAAATGGTCAGTAACTTGTGTCTTATTGCCTCCCAGCTGATATCAGCCTGGCTGATTGGGGTCGTAAAGAAATCATCATGGCTGAGAATGAAATGCCTGGTTTGATGGAAATGAGGAAGCAGTATGGTCCCACAAAGCCTCTTACTGGCGCTAAAATTGCAGGCTGTCTGCACATGACAATCCAAACTGCTGTTCTCATTGAAACATTGACTGAATTGGGAGCTGAGGTATTGAAAATACTTTTTTCTTACATATGGATGGTAGAGTGAATGGTAAATTTTGACTCAGTCAGGCAAATCAATTGCAAGGCCTTTGGAAAATATAGTCTACGATAAACTCTGATCACTGTCTACTGATTTTGTATCTCATTGAAAATATTCCAGGGAAACATCTCAAAGTTAAGCCATAAGAAAGCTAAAGAAGTGTCTTTTTTAAATTTATTTTGCATTTAAGAATTGGTTCATGCTTAGCATGCATATACTTGCATTGCTTTATGGATGCATGCGGGATGTTTGGAGAGCATGAGATAAGCAAAAGAGTTGCTTGAGTCCTCAATGTTGCAAAGCCTGACTTCTTCCAGCCGTAATTTGCATGGCATTTAGGAATTTGGTACCGTCAACTCCAAAGCTAATTTTGTGGTTGGAAAGAGCTCTATGGTCATTTGTTTGCAAAACCAGCACTGTTTAGCAAATTTACCTTTCATCTTGAGCTCCAAAAGGTGTGTCTTGATCAGTATTGCACAGAAAAACAATTTTGAAAGTTTTCTAACCTTGTGGCTAAACTCTCTGCAAACTTGCTGAAGTAAAACTGCAGACACCATGTTATTCATGCATGGCCATGCTTCTATAGAGCTTTAAACCATAGTAGCACCCTATGAATTAGATAGGAATGGCACTCACACAATGTCATAATAAAACTTTTGAACAGTGTTTACATTGGTCATGATTTATTCTGATAATGCGGGAATTTCTTGTCACAGGTTCAGTGGTCTTCTTGTAACATCTTCTCCACCCAAGACCATGCTGCCGCAGCTATTGCCAAGACAGGTGTCCCAGTCTATGCCTGGAAGGGAGAGACCGACGAAGAGTATGTCTGGTGTATTGAGCAAACCCTTGTCTTCCCTGATGGAGAACCACTGAATATGATCCTTGATGATGGTGGTGACCTCACCAACCTTGTTCATGACAAATACCCACAGTTCTTGCCAAGTATGTTGAGTGTTAGTTCATACTTCTTGCTAGATGTGTAATGGTACAAATTGACACTGCGTGAATATTTTCATGTTGTTGGGTAATTTTTTTGGCATCTTGATGGCCTCATGATTAGCCCATAACTGGACCTAAATTGAACAGTCTGTTTTAGTCCCTTTACCCTAATATCAGTATGCTTATTCTCCATGCTGTTCTCTATACATTTTACTAAGGAGCTAAAAAAGACGATTTGTTTAACAATGTTTAGAAGGGGAAAGCATTTGGAAGATATCTGTTTGTGCAATTAAACTCTTGAATGTTTTATGCGAGAACTTAAAACTAACTTGATATTTATTTGCAATGTATTTATTATTACTTCAGATATCAAGGGACTTTCAGAAGAGACCACAACTGGTGTACATAACTTGTACAAAATGCTCGAGCAAGGCAAACTGAAGGTACCAGCCATCAATGTCAATGACTCCGTTACCAAGAGCAAATTTGACAACCTTTATGGAATCCGTGAGTCTCTTGTTGATGGTCTGAAGAGAGCAACAGACATCATGCTTGCTGGCAAAGTCTGTGTTGTGGCTGGATATGGGGATGTCGGCAAAGGATCAGTACAGTCTCTCAGAGGTTTTGGCGCTCGTGTTCTGGTTACAGAAATTGATCCCATCAATGCCCTTCAAGCTGCCATGGAAGGTAAAGAATGAGAAAGACATGCAACTTGTTGCATTCTTTGATGACGTAACAGGAATTGAGGTGTCATGTTATTGAAATTTTGGCTAAAGCACTCTTAGAGTGAAGAAAACCACAGTAAGTACAAATAAAATGTGTCTTTTGCAATGTATTTCAACAGCAGAGAGTTCTGAGGGCAAGCTGTGAGTCTTAATGTAAGGACTGTGTTAGGGTGTTGTGTTATGGCAAATTATGGCTGAAGTACTCTTGAACTGAAGGAAACCACAAATCAAATTTGTCATTTGGGTACAGTGTATTTCAACACTAGAGAATTCTCTTAAGATGCCGGTAAGCCTAGATTCAAAGAGCTTAGTAGTTGTGGTTTTTTTTTTTTTTTTCAGTTTCAAAATTGTAAGCAAGAGTTTAACACTAGTGATCCTAGTAGAATGCTATTGGTGGTTGCTATTGGTTTTGATTCCCTGTTACCCTTGTTTGATTAACAGGATACGAAGTTGTTACCATGGAAGAAGCTGCCTCCCAGGGACAGATCTTTGTCACATCCACAGGATGTAGTGGCATCATCACTTCAGAACACTTCCTTAAGATGAGGGATGACTCCATCATTTGCAATGTCGGCCATTTTGATTGTGAAATTGATGTCGCATGGCTCAATGAAAACTGTAAGAAGGACAACATCAAACCACAGGTATAAAGAACAATCTTCTGCAACTCTCCTTATTTCTAAGTTATGCAGCTAGATGTTGTTCAAAAAGAAAAAATGTATTTCTAAGTTATGCAGCTAGATGTTGTTCAAAAAGAAAAAATGTATTTCTAAGTTATGCAGCTAGATGTTTTTCAAAAAGAAAAAAACCTATAAAAAAATGGACTAAAAACATGAGAAAACCCTTTTATTCTTTAAATCTAATTAGTAATTCCTGCCTTACAATTCTTATGATTTTAGTTCTGAATCAGAGAATATGGGTTTGGATCAGCCAATTATCCCCATGTTGATATTTGTATTTATTACCAATGAACCCATTAATAAAAATCATAGATAAAAATCATAAAAAAAGAACCTATCTTGGTAGGTGGTGGGAAGTTTATTAGGCATCCAATATCTGAGGAATCTTTGGGTACTACTTAGGATACTCGGGCCTAATCTCAGTGGCTGGATCTGTTTTTTCACGCAAATGCAGAGAAAATTCCTTGGTGATTAGACTCTTCTCCTGACACTGATTTTTTTTTGGTGAAACCCCTTGGAAGAACACTAGAGGTGAGCCTAGTTTGAACTCTCAACCCATAGATATAATATTTTGTTCTGTGTCAGGTTGACCGGTACACCCTCCCCAATGGTCGTCATGTCATCTTGCTTGCTGACGGCCGTCTGGTAAATCTTGGCTGTGCCATGGGACATCCATCATTCGTCATGAGCAACTCTTTCACAAATCAGGTCATGGCTCAGATTGAACTTTGGGAAAAGACAAGTGAATACAAAATTGGTGTTTACATGTTGCCCAAGAAGGTGAGAGAAACTTCTCCCAGATACTTGATGATGAGGTCAAGAAGATTAGGGTTAGACTTTTTTTGCAGTAGAGCAGATAAGATAGCTCTCTGATGTTCACCTGTAAAGGAAAAATCGTTGTGCTTGTGATTTTCTTAGTATTCCTGAAAATTTTGCATCCCTTTTGCTTCAAAGATCTGCAAGCCAAATGAAATTCTCCTTACTGGTACATTTAACAATTGGGTCTTGATGTCGTACACATATCTTAACACTACACATGTATCTCTTGGCTGTTGTCTTGATTCTTGTGACCTTTATTATTGACAGGGTAGTAAAAATGCGATATTGTGTAAGACTTAGCTTGCTGATTGCTTCTGGGTTGAGAGATTCAAAGGTTTCGATTGAAAACTGGTTGAGCTTGTTCACATTAATTGAATTGCATTTAAGGTTCTCCCTTTCTAATGGTTTACCAGCATGATAATCCATGCTGGATGTTAGGAGGACACTAAAAAAGTTTTTGCATCACTCCTCTCGCTTTTTATTAAGAAATTTTTGGTGTTCTTCCAGCATCTTGGCAAGGGTCATTATGTGGGCAAACCTTACTGAAAGGGTGGTCTATTGCTTCTATCAAATAACAACAGGACAGGTTTTTGACTAACGAGGGTGTGATTGTAGCATCTCAGTAACAATATAATTGTTCACAAATACATTCTTATTGTCTTTCTAGCTTGATGAAGAAGTAGCCAGGTTGCATTTAGACCATCTTGGAGTTAAGATGACCAAGCTTAGTGACAAACAAGCTAAATACTTGGGGATACCCTCTGAAGGACCTTACAAACCATCTCATTACCGCTATTAATTACCTTGTTGAGGATTGGACTAGACTTTATTAGACTTTCTACAACAAATTAATTTCCTTACATGTGTCCGTGGAGATAGGCATTCCTTTATGTTGTAAGTTCTGGTGTTAGTCTGTGCTATTTATTATCATTGTGTTGGTTAAATAAACAAATATGCCTGTGAATTGAGAATACTCTGTGTTTTGTCAAGTTTTAAACCCTTTAACTCCCATGAGTGTCCAAGACTGAATTTCTCTTTACAATATCAATACACTACCAAGCAAACAAGTGATGAGAATAAGGGAAAAAGAAATCAGGGGATTATTAGCTGATCCAATTCCAAATTTTTCAAATTAATATCATAAGAATTGTATGTGAGACGGTTGGGAGAATTACTTATGAAATCTCCGGAGTGAAAGGCTTAATTTGTTCTATTGTGTAGGATAGCCCTATTTCCATATCAAGCCATCAAATACCTCAAAATGAGTTTGGGAATAATGAATAAGTGTGTGGAAGCTTTTTGCTTTATTGGAACCTAGGAGTGATTACATATCAAAATGTGAGTTTTAAAACCAGTATCAGAAGGTCAACGGAGGTTCCAACCCCAATTAGGAAGCTTTCTCTAATTAGCAATTATCACCACAATTGGCCACATAGAATATTAAGAATTTGTGTCGTCTGCTTGAGGCATGGTAACGTTTTGGTACATGTGATTCACACAAAGGATTGAAATTAGATTGTGCGATTCAGCTCAAAGAATTCCCACTTGGTACCATTTGTTGAATTTCAAGCCACTCTTTTGAGCCTGGGGTCATTTCCCTCAGAGTGACAAGATTTGCAGTAGTGCATTAAATCATAATATCAAAAACGTTTTGCTTCTTGCAAAGTCACTCGCCATTTTAACAGTGTTGGGCATCCAATACTGGAAAGAAAACCACCAAATTTAAACAAAAACCTATCGATCTGTCCCTAAACAATTTGAATACACTACCCAGCCAAAAATTGAAAATATATGATCCTCATTTTAATGGTGCGATTTCCTGTAACATCATTTTCTCACGCCTGCTGTATTTAAAATATCAATATCTGGAGAGGAAAGGGTTCCCACTTCAGCCCCAGAGCTTTGGGTTATGACTCAATGCATTTATCTATAGAATCGATGGTTGAATTGATAGAAACTGTTGCATCTCAAGATGTGATGGACAAGCCACTATCAATTTGCCATTATGACCTTGTGTCCCCCTATCAATGATCTCTTTCACTCTTGACGCCATGGACATAGACGACGCCATGTGATTGTTGTTGAGACGTCAGTTAGTCGCTTCAGCGGAGTTTACTTGGTCTCAGTCTCCCTTCGTCGTGCCACGAAACCTGTCAATAAAAACTTAATATCCAGACAGTGAGGAAGCTGTGAATTATAACTATCCTAAACAAGCGAATGATTTCTTGCACTTTAAAGGAGAAGAAGTCTACTTCTGCAGTCAGTCTCAACATGCTGGCTCCTCTCTATCATTAAACGGAGAAATTCCGCTCATAATTGAGTTAACAACTGGCTGTTCTAAGAACAGCCAGTTGTTAATCAACTCAGATAGGAATTCGAGCTCTGACTTACGTGCAGTGAGCCTTGATGTTATTAGACGGCCGATTTTCCTATATCCAGCCAATATAAAGACTAATGATTTTGCCTCTCCGAATAATGAGGACGTCAAACACTCTCGTATGTACAGGATTTTTAAAAAGAGGGGCGATTTTTGCTCTTTGCTTATTTGTGTTTTGCGAATGGTTTATTTACTACTTGGTGATACTTCAATGTTCGTGGCCCGAATTTACTATCGAGGAACATGCAAAGCCTTCCGAACCTCTCAAGACTATGCTACTGACCGATACACACTTGTTAGGGTCAAAAGACGGCCACTGGTTCGACAAACTGCGGAGAGAATGGCAAATGGAAAGAGCGTTTCAAACGGCTGTGTCCTATTTCAAACCAGATGTCGTCTTTTTACTTGGAGATCTATTTGATGAGGGTCTGAAATGCAGTGACGAGGTAAGACTTTTGGAGACTGGTACAAAGGATTTTTATACCATTTTCCGTGCAAATTAGTTTTAAATCGTAAAAAATTTTCTGAGAAAACCCTATATCAGCAGGTAAAAGCCTTGTGATACGTAAACATATAAGCTGCTAACAGATGTGCAGCTGATTGATTAACTTGTCTCCATCTACATTAAAATACTTCAGCTTGCTAGACCTCATCAATGTTGCAGCCTCGTAACCTTACAACTGAGTAATTTATAATTTTACTATGAAGTATAAATCTGATGAATAAAAGTCGGGCAGATCAGAAAACCAGTCCATTCTCTGTTATTCCTTATGTTTTTGTTCGTAGAATTTTGAAAAATTTTAAAATGTATGTATTGAATGTAAACACAATAGCACAGAAAAAAAGACGTAGCTTTTTTGAGACAAGTGATGCTTTGAACTTTGGATAAATGGGTCCCTGTAGTCTCCTTGTGTAAAATTGTTACTGAGATAGGTCACAAATACTCAGGTCACCCATCAAAATTTGCACCAAGGAAAGAATTGATATAACCAGTTACAAAAATGTTGAGACATCTTGAGCAAAAAATATCTTTCCCTGCTTCATTGGACGGCTAAAAAGTAATTTAGTGCAAAAAGCCAAATTCTGCCTCCCTTCCCCGATTTAATGTTTTTCATTGAAATAATGTACATGATACTGTTTAGCTACCAACATTGC